ACATTACCTCCAGCAATTAAACACTTTGTTGTTTTCGAAACGGTCTCTCTCTATGTATACTTGACTGTCCTAAAACTCAATGGTGTAGACCTTATTGACCTCGAACTCACAGATCACCTGCCTCTGCCTCCTGAGTGCTGGGATTAAAGGCATGTGTCACTATATACCAGCTAAAACAAACTTCCTTATTCTACTGTGTATGTGTACACTAATTAGATTAATGCCTCAACCAGCTGTGTGTGTGTACGCTAATTAGATTATACCTCAACCAGCTGTGTGTGTACACTAATTAGATTAATACTTCAACCAGCTGTGTGTGTGTATACTAATTAGATTAATCCTCCAGCCAGCTTCCCTGCCTCACTTCCACAGGCTGCAGGTGCCTGAGAGAGGAAGAGTGCTGCTTGGCTTCAGTTCAGGTTCTGATGCAGTTTTTCTTTGTGTGGCAGAAGTAAACATCCCTATCCCATTCAGTATTGTTGTGAGCATCTGGTGAGCAAGGAGCCTAAAGAGCTTCTCGGCTTTCCCATCAGTCATCTCAGAAACATCTGTTCTCTCTCTCCTTTCTGGTCTGTGTGTTCAACCCTATGATGGAAGGAAGTGGGGGTATTCAAGACTTTGCTAGATTTCCAATCCAGATAAAGATGGGAAAGGACAGTCTTTCCCCTAAGCTTTGGTATTTTGTCCCTCCCAGAATTTGAGTCCTACCCACAGGCTGTATATCCCAATGTTTTCCAACCACCAAGCTTCATGCCTTTACAGGACTTTTTAGCCTATTCCCCAACTCTCCATTGCCAACTAGTCCTGAGTCACTCAGGCATCGATTGTGACCCAGCTTCTCAAAGTTACTACTCTCCCACACACATGGCAACCATGGTTAATTAACATTGGATAAAGGCTCTGGGGGGGAATCCCAGGAAGGAGGACAAACCATGTAGAACCCAGACCACCACTTCTTCTTCTTCTTCTTCTTCTTCTTCTTCTTCTTCTTCTTCTTCTTCTTCTTCTTTTCTTCTTCTTCTTCTTTCTTCTTCTTTTCTTCCTTCTTCCTTCTTCATTTTTTTGAGACAGGGTTTCTCTGTGTAGCTTTGGCGCCTATCCTGGCACTCGCTCTGGAGACCAGGCTGGCCTCGAACTCACAGAGATCCGCCTGCCTCTGCCTCCCAAGTGCTGGGATTAAAGGTGTGCACCACCAACTCCCAGCTAAACCCAGACCTTCTTATGCTACTACAATCCACAGCTCCATACAGTGGCAGCTGTGGTGTTCATGAAAGCCACAGGATATGCAGCATTGTCTACTTAACAGGGGATGTTCTACCCCAGGGTGGAGAGAACAGCTTATTATTTCCTGTACCCTACCACAAAAATTGATGCAGGTCCTGAGCAATGGGACAGCAAAGCCCAGCCTGTCCCTGCAGGTAAGCTGCTTCTGCTAGGTTTTGCCTTGTTTGGGTGAGAAAGGCTCTTTTCTGTTGTTACTGAAGTTCTTCCTCTTCCTCCTTTAACCATCCCTGTCTCTTAAAACAAGTGTGTGTGTGTGTGTGTGTGTGTGTGTGTATGTACGTGCACGTGCTTTCCTCATGTATTTCCAGACATCTCAATTTTGAGATAAATCCAGCTCTTCCATAATGTACACAGACTTGCTAACAGGACTGTCCAATGATTGAAGAGATAGTGGTTTGTCATTGGTTTGGAAACACCACTCTTAGAATACTGGGCTTTGGGCATTAGAAGGGACATAAAAATGGAGAATCCTCTAGATTCTGCAGCAGTAAAAAGAGGGGAGAAATACTGGGGGGCTGGAAGGCCAGACAGCTGACTAAAGAAAGACTTGATTATGGTCAAGCACCTGATGCCGAACCAGAGACATAGTAAGTATTTACCACGTTATTATCATGTACATCCATGGCTGAGAATGAAGGAGCTTGGAGATCATTCGGAGCCTTTACTCCCACTTCTTTATTTTATTTATGTCAAATGTGGTGGTGCTATAGCCCAGTCTATAGAGTGAGTTCCAGGCTAGCCAGCACTCCATAATAAGACCTTGTCTCAAAACAACAAAAAATATTACTACTGTATGTGTGATGTGTGTGGGGGGGTATGCATGCCAGAGTAATCTCTCTCGTCCTTTTACATGGGTCCTGAGAATTGAACTTGTCATTAAGCTTGCATTGTTGGGCAGCAAGTGCCTTCATCCACTGAGCCATTTTGCCAGCTCACCACTTCTGACCATAAAATAGGTAAGTGGTTTTACAGAGGGAGGCACTTGCCATGAGACTTTGGAGGCTGGCTGGGGCTAGAGCTCATGCTCCACCTCCCAGGCATAGTCCCTATTTGGCTCCTTTGCAGGTATAGGAGGAGCTCTAGGTAGGCCTGTATTGGTTCTTCACAACCAAGCTGCTTTTAACTCTTGTCTTATTTTTTTTCTGTTATATTTTTTTCTTTTTTTTCATATTTACATATCCATCCCCCCATTCCCTCACCCTCCCATGTTCCCCACCAACCTCCCCAACCCATCCCCCAACTCCTCCCCAGGGATAGTGAGGCCCTCCACAGGGGACCTTCAAAGTCAATCATGTCATTTGGGGGAGGGCCTAGGCCCTCCTTGCTGTATCTGGGATGCATTAGTATCCCTCCATAGGGAATGGGCTCCCAAAGTCCATTTGTGCTCCAGAGATAAAGACTGGCTCCCCTGTTAGAGGTCCCATAGACTGTCTTGGCCTCCTAGCTGGCACCCACATTCAGAGGGCTTGGTTCAGTCCAATGCTGTTTCCCCAGCTTTATGGCTAGGGTCCCCATGCTCTCACTAGGTCAGGTCAATTGTTTCTGCAGCACCATCTTGGTGAGTGGTTTGTGGTATGGGGGCCGTGTGTTCTAGCTCTAGCAGTCTCCTGGGGAATAAGCTCTGCAGTGAAACCTGCCACACCTCCCCTACATTGAACCCGGAGAGAAGCTTAGGCTTCTTCTCTTGTGATTGGGATTATGACTGATTTTCCCACTGCACATTTAGTCATTGCCAGATATGAATGGGGATAGCCAGTGCCAAGTGCCTTAACAATGAGATTCCCCTATCAGACCGGGTTCCTTAAAGGCAAGGGCTTGCCTTGCCCTCTCCTCCCCTCCTCAAGGCTCCTAACAGCTTGTATGGAATTCAGAGCCCTGAGAGAACTTGGGTGTCCTCATACTGGAGAGCTTGGTCAGTCATGACTATGCCCATATGGTCAGGAGCTGAGGACAGAATGTCAAAAGTCCCATTCTGGTGGTCTCTCCTACAATCTGCCAAGACCTGGGTGGCACCTAGACCACAGCTTCCCACCAGTGATTGCTGTAGTTTGTGTCTTTTATTTTACCAAAAATAGCAAAATTTTCCCTCTTTCACAAAAATATATTTCCCTCCCCCATCATCCCTTTTCACAGCCTAGATTTCAGAGTATATTCTGCAAGCCCACTGTGGGGGAATTTCCCACTTCCTCAGTTCTGAACCACTTCCAAAGCTGCAGGGTGGCATGCTCCCCTTGACTTTTCTGGAGCCAGCAGATATAGAAATTCCAGGTCCTGCTGCTCTAGAGTCCCCCCAGCTGTTTCTCTGGAGGGCAGGCAGTTCCTAGGCCATAAAGATGGACCTGGTTTTGGAGGCTTGTCTCAGCAGCCAACTCAGCAGCACCCAGGGGTGGTGGGGCTCTCTAGCATCAGGCTAGAAATCACTGCTCAAAGCAGGAACAGCTGTGTCCTGCAGAGTATCTGACAAACCCCATTTCCACATGCATCTCGGTGTCACAATCAGCAGGGCCTAGAGAAGAAGTCAAGAGTCTTGGCTTTTATACAGCTTCACAAAAGCCTCCGGGTTTCAGTTTCCTCCTCTGCATACCGAGAAACACAGATGGGATTCTTATGTGACTTCTTGTTCTCCATCCTGGCCTCTCAAGATAAAGGCTCTGGGGGGGGGCAGAAACCTGTTTCTGCCACGGTTTCCCTACCTGTGAGTCTGTGCACAGGGCTCAGCATGGAGGTATTGAGTAATGGCTACTGAAAGATCATCCCAGCCTCTCTGGATAGCTGTGCTTGGAGATCCAAGTAGGTGGAATGTCTCTGGGTGGTTGGGTGGAGGCAGGTATTTTTAGGGTGGGAAGTTCTCCACCAGCTACATGATCCTCAGTGTCCTGAGATAGGAAAAAGACTCCAGATTTCCCAATTCAAGTTCCAGTGGCTCTCTTGGTCTAAAGGGCTATTTTGAGCCGGCCTTCAGTCAGGTCAGTAGGTTCTGGGTGTGAGACTGAAGTATCTTGAGTTCCAGTTCAAGATCCAGGGGACCTTTGTGGACATGAGGGATCAATCCCTACCCTCAAGAGGCTTACTATTTTTTTTTTCTGAGACAGGGTTTCTCTGTGTAGCCCTGATTGTCCTGGAACTCACTCTGTAGACCAGGCTGGCCTCGAACTCAGAGATCCTCCTGCCTCTACCTCATGAATGATGGAATTAAATGTATATGCCACCACTGCCTATCTTGGAGACTTACTGTTATCAGGCCCTCCTGGAAGCAGAGAGATGAGTGAAATAACAATTCATGGACATCCTTGGCTGAGTAAATCAGCCCACATGGTGATAGGTCAGGGATTTAAGGAACTTGGGGCAAAGTTGCACTTTCTAACCTCCACTAAACTGCCTGGGACTCATGCTGATAGAAAATGGTAGTCTAGGAGATTCAGAGGTACAATTCTGTCTTCAGGCACATTCTGTACACTTGTACTTATGGTGAGAGTTGAGTTGGGGCACTAAGCTGTCATTACTCCTAGAGGGGTCATGGACTTATGGTCAGCCCATCCATCCATCCATCCATCCATCCATCCATCCATCCATCCACCCATCCATCCACCCACCTACCCACCCATGCATCCAGCATGTGCCAGGAAGGACCTGGATCTCTCAGACAAATCCAGCAAACAACACACACACACACACACACAAACACACACACACATACACA